AAGAGAGATTATGTAGAGGTGCAAATTTCCAATGATGAATGTCATTATATTGTATACCTAAAATGTACCAATAAAATAAAATTAAAAAAAAAAGAAATTAGCCAATAATAAATGCTAGAAGGGCTGTGGGGAAAAACAAACCCTTCTCTACTATTGGTGGGAGTGTAGACTGGTGCAACCACTGTGGAAATCAATGTGGAGATTCCTCAAAAAACTAAAACTAGAGGTTCCACTCAACCCAGCTATTCCTTCTTGGTAGCTTCCCAAAAGAATTAAAAACATCATACCATAGCAATATATGCACACCATCCATGTTTATAGTGGCATAGTTTGTAATAGCTAAATCTTGGAAACAGCCCAAATGCCCATCAACTAATGAATGCATAAAGAAGATATAGGGTTTTTTATACAATGGAGTACTACTCTGCCATAAAGAAGGATAAGTTTGAGACATTTCTAGCTAAATGGATGCACCTTGAAACCACTGAAATAATTTGGACACCCATGTTTAAATACCATGAAAATGAGGTCTAAAAGGTATAACAGATATTGGGAAATGGGAAGAAAATGCTCAAATGAGAAGAGGAATAAAGAGGGGGAGGAAAGAAGGGACAAGAAAAAAAGCAAATAGAAAGAAAAAATGGAAATAAAGCCTTTGTAATAAGGAGGGGACGAGGGTTCAAAGGGGGGTGGAGAAAAAAGAAGCAAGATATATCATATATAGGTACAAATTCCCTATGGTGAATATTATCATTATGTGTATCTAAAATGTACCAATAGGGCCAGGGATTTAGCTCAGTGGTTCCAATGTCTACCTCGAAAGTGCAAGGTCCTGAGTTTGATCTCCAGTACCAAAAAAAATAATAGTAAAATGTACCAATAAATGTTTTGCTTCAAAAATAAATAAATAAAAGTTCCTTATTGTTCCTGTACAACATAATGACTACAGTTAATAATGTATTATTTTCTTTAAAATTACCAGAGATTTTAAGTGTTCTCACCACAAAAAATGATAAATACAGTATATGAAGTAATGCATACATTAATTAGCTCAATTCAGTCATTTCACAATGTACACATATTTCAAAACAGGCTGTACCTGATAAATATATACACTTTTATTGGTCAATTAAAAATAAACTTAAAATAACGTCCAAAAAGTACAGTGGCAAATGCCTGTAACCCTAGCTACTCAGGAGGCTGAGAGGATCACTTAAGGCTAAGAGTTTAAAACATGTCTAGGCAATAGAGAGAGACTGTCTTAAAAGCCCCCCCCCCCCAGGATCTTGCGCTTGCAAGGCAGGCGCGGTGCCACTGAGCTAAATCCTAGCCCTTATTTAAACAAGATAAAATTTTAAAAAGAGCTCTTATCTCTTAGATTTACATCCTGAATTATTTAGGGGTCAAATGGCATAATTTTGGAGATCTGCTTCGTGATGGAGGAATAAAGAAAGTATAGATAAAATAATAATGACCATAAATTGATAATTGTTGAAGCTGGATGATAGGTACATGTGGGTTCATTCTCTCTACTTTTATGTATGTTTAAAATTTCAATAATAAAACGTTTCCAAATTTTTTTCTCTTTTGTTCTGCTGGGAAAGAAGAAAAAGATTAGCTTGGGGGTGGGGGGCTGTCTAGAAAAACTAGTAAAAAATATACTAATATGGCGAAACACCCTCTGCTGACATAACTACATAAGCACAGAGAACTATCAGTACCTTTAAAGACTGAATTACAATTGCAAGGTTGCCTTCCTTGCTTCCTATAGCAATTTCTTTGTGTGTGTATGTGCATGCAAGTTTGTGTGTGTGTGTGTGTGTGTATGTGTGTGTGTTACTAGAGATTAAACATAGGGCCTCACACTGAGCTACAAGGCCAGCCTTTTTAAAATTTTTAGACAGGGTCTCACTAAGTTGTCCAGTTTGGGCCTGAACTTATTTTTGTTATCCTCCTGCCTCTGCCACCAAAGTGCTGGGATTACAGGCATGTGCAACCACATCTGGCTCCTTTATATTTCTGTATGTAATTTCTCCAAATATTACAGCAATGAGTGAGTAAAGGGAGACATATTAGAAAAATTTGTGAAATATGTATTTGAATGCATATTTTCTTTAAAGATCCAAGAGAAAATGTAATGGTGATTACTTATGGGAAAGCAAAGTAGTACAAACTTTTTTGAATTTTATTTACTGCACTTATTCTTTCATAATTAGAATTTTAAAAATAAAACCTATGTATTTTATTTAAATATTTTAGAAATTAAAATCTCCAATAATACTTTCTTTCTCAAGAAAAAGATGTCACAAGAGAATAAGAAAATATGGTCACTTTTTAAATAACAAATATGAACAACTTCCACCAGGCCACAGAAGAAAACTTACTAAGTGGGTAAAAATGTAGTCAATTAGTTTTCAAAAATAGAATTATTTTAGAATAAATAATTACATTACCTGGCTACTAACTCTGGAAATTCCTTTGTAATCTCTTTTATTAAATAAACAATAAACCATTCATCCTCAATATTGTCCCCAAACTTTGTCATGCCATACATATGAGCAGGAACACCTCCTAAAAACAAGAGAAAAGCAACCATATAATCAGATAAATTTGTCACTGCAATAAAAATACATGTAATCATTCCATTAAACAAATGTTCACTATGTTCCCGAAGACCATTCTAGGAGCTGGGTTGCAATTCTGAATGAGATACAAGAAGCCTGTTCCTGAGGAGTTCGGGCTCTATAGTAAGAGACAACCAAGCCATTTCCACACAAAAAGTGAACCTAGAACAGTGGTATGCATGAAAGGCCGTGTGAAATGCAATCATCTGGAGGAAGAGTATCCAGAAGAGTAGTCTGAGCTGGATGGTCCAGAAAGAGGGAGCTGCACATGCAAAGGCACAGAGCTGTAACAGACCACTGAGTGCTCTGGAAATGCCAGGTAGCTGGACTTGCAGGTACAGAAAATTTCAAACAATTACCCTATCTACAAATGCATGAAAATTAAACAACAAAATTAAACATAGTTTTTTATGTTGTTCTTCTTCTTGTTGCTTTTCCAGTACTGGAGATTCAACCCAGGGCCTTCACACTGAGCCACATCCCCAGTTGTTTTATTACTTTATTTTAAGAAAGAGTCTTGCTAAGTTTCTCAGACTGAACTTAAACTTGCAATCTTCCTGCTTCAGCCTTCTAGAGTGCTTGGATTACAGCCATGTGTAACCATGCCCACCTTAAACAACCCATTTTCAAACAACTGGTAAGTCAAAGAGGAAACCACAAGGGAAATTAGAAAATATTTTGAAACAAATGAAAATGAAAGCACAACATACCAACCCTGGGATGCGTAGCAGTGCTAAGAGAAGTGCATAGTTTTGAAAGATTTCAGATCAGCAATCTAACCTTATACCTCAAGGAACCAGAAAATAACTAAGCCTAAAGCCAGCAAAAGAAAGGAAATAACAATTACAGCAGAGATAAATGAAATAAAGTACAGAAAAACAACATTAAAAACTGAGTTTTTAAAAGATCAACAAAATTGATAATCATTAGATTAACTATAAATAAAAGACTAAAATAAATGAAAGGAGACATTATAACCCACGCCACAGAAATAAAAAGAATCACAAGAGAATACTATGAATAGTTGTCTATCAATGAATTGAGACAACTGTAAGAAATGGATAAATTCCTAAAAAATACAAAGCCTAATCCTAGTCTTCACTAGATCATGAAAAAACAGAAAATCTGAACACAAGTATAATTAGTAAGGGGATGGAATCAGCAATCAAAAACTTCCTAACAAAGAAAAGCTCAGGGACATATGGCTACAGTGGAGAATTCTATCAAACATTTAAAGAAGTTAATACTAATCCTTCTCAAAGTCTACCAGAAATATGAAGGGAAGGACATATTCCCAAACTCATTCTGATGCTGGCATTACCCTAATATTAAATCAGACAAAGAAAATATAAGACAAGAAACCTACAGACCAATATCACTGATAAATATTGATGCAGAAATCCTCAACAAAATACTAGCAATCAAACTTGACAGCACATTAAAAGGATTGTAAGACTAAGTAAGATTTATTCCTGTAATTCAAGAATGGGTCAACATACAAAAATCAATCAAAGTAATATTAACAAAAAGAAGGTCAAACAAATACAATGCTGAAAGTCTCCAGAGCAGCCAGGACACACACAAAAAAAGCAAAGGTGAGAAGAACAGCCCACTGAACTCTTCTTCTTCCTACACAATATAGTACCTCCCAAGTTTCTTCAATTAGAGAAGCTACACTTAAGAGTACCTATTTTTATCTACCTTAGATAGCAGACCTCAATTTAAACCTCTTCTTGAAGCAATGGGGAAATGTTGAAGGTTGTTAAGCACGAAAATAACATGATCAAATTTGTGTTTTATAAAGGTAACAGGCAACAATGTGAAGAACTAGAGAGACTAGAACCAGAGAAGTTAGGAAGCTATTGTAGTTTTCTAAATTAAGAGCTAGGAGCCGGGGATTTAGCTCAGTGGTTCTGCCGCCCGCCTTGCAAGCACAAGGTCCTGAGTTCGATCCCTGGTACCAAAATAAATAAATATAAATTAAGAGCTAAAAGGGGCCTACACAAAAGTCAAACAATATAGAAAAGGGATCATTACTTCAGGGGTTATCACACCAGGATTTAGTGCCTTACTGGACATAGTGAGTATGATTTTGAAATAATAACTAGCTTGGATAACTGGATATATGTCAATGCCACTAAAAATGAGAAAACACGGGGTAAAAATTATTTTCTAGACCACAGATAAGATGTGCTGTGCTAATGTGACAGTGTTCTTACCAATAAATGTCACAAGTATTCCAGTGAATAAATTCAGTAAAATTAATAGCAGGAAATACATTTAGCAATTGCTAGCCAAAGATAACACATAAGCATTCAATTGTTTGCAAAACTGATAGTATCACAAGATCCTAGGGTCCCAATCCTACAAGAAGACCTAAATAATTCACTGTATGAGCAGAGGCTTGGTCGCTATCCACTGCCACAAAGCTGCAAGAAATAGGTCAGAGTGGCATATTTTGCTAGGGGTCAGACCTCAAACACCAAAACACACCAAGTCAGTGAAAGGAAGTTCAAAATGGTTCTGAGTAGCAAAACCTGATCATAAAATCCAATTATTTCTCATTATAAGCAAGGCAAACCCACTCTTAGATCCTCACCAAAACAATTATGTGAAACAAGCCACCTACTAAATACATTATCAAGATAAGCATTGAGAAACAGCAAAAGGAACTATGATTAAGGAAGCCATATCTGAACCTGTTTGGCATAGGTACTTAGGTACACTATGGGATAGTAAGTAAAGTTCAAAACAATAACCATGAATTTAATGTTTAGTATAAGCTAGTTCCTAAGGTAATGACTACTATAATTTTTATCAATATGAATTTAACATTTTTGTTTGTTTGTTTGTTTTTGCGGAACCAGGGATGGAACTCAGGACCTTGTGCTTGCCAGGCAGGCGCTGGCACCACTGAACTAAACCTCCAGCCCAGAATTTAACATTTTTTTCAATTTAGGGGCTTAAATGAATATGGCCAAGCACCATTAATCTAAAAAGTTAAAGATATAAACATTTTTCACAACAATGAATGAAGTATGAACTATTTACCTTTGCCAGGTTTATATCTGAGATTAAAAGGCTGATTCTGCCAGATGTAGGGAGCCAGCATAGGTGCAAACTGGGTCATTATTCTCTCAATATACTTCTCAAGAATTTCTCTGTGTTTTCCTGGGTCCTTTGATTCATCTGGTATCAGGAACAGGTGGTACTCCACAGTGTCTTCCACTGTAGTGAGCATCATATTTTCCTCCATTCTTCTTTGAAAACTATATGTAAAGTTTCAGTAATATAAACCATGAAGAACAATGTGGAAATAACATCGCATTTCCTGAGCTCTTATAGGTGATTCCATTAACAATGTTTTCCAAAACTCTGTTATTCACATACCATCATCATATGGTTTTTGCCTTGATCATATATCACCATATAATATTTATTTAATATTTCTTGCTCAATAACATTTTATACTTACAACTCTGTTCTTTACACTTTATGTTAAAAGGAAATCTTGATATACAGTTAATGGAAATCCAATGTCACATTTCCAAGTAAATAAGAATAAAATTTTAAATGTGGCTGGATATGATGTGCACACATGTAGTCCTAGCTACTCCGGAAGCCGAGGTAGAAGGATCACTTGAAAACAGTTCAGGCCTGCTTGAGCAACAAAGGAAGACCCTGTCTCTTAAATAAATATGTAACACACCGTGAGCAACATGACACTAATATCCACCGTTTACTACCAAACGCCCCAGTTCCGCCACTAATTAGTTGCATCACTCTGGGCACTTCACTTTCTCTTTCTGGAGAGTTCTCCTTAATTGTAGAATGGGAGTGTTACTCTAAAATCCCTCCCTGCTTTAAAATTGTTATTGTTCTACAGAATTTAAATTTCTCCCTTTATGAACATTATATGGCATAGTAGAGTTCAAAAACTACAAAAATCCATGTCTCATTATCTCACCTCAAAATAATTTGCCCATAGCTCTTGATCCTACAACTGATCTAAATGTGTCCCTTTTTCAAGTCAGGGGATATACCTCTGGTAAACTAAGGGCTTGCAGAAAACTCCTTATTTTCTAAGGGGTTTTCTGAGAAACGAGTACTAGCCTACGACTGCTGCCAGGTGAAGCTTGGTACCAGGCAGGCACCGCACTGGATGGACACCCTAACGCCGCGATTCGGATGCTTAAGCTTAGCACTTGGCTTTCTAATGGGCTAAAAAGGAGCCTGCGTCTTCCATCCAGACACCACTCACCTAGACTTAATCAGTTTGCCATTTAAAACAGAAGAACAAACAATATCCTACTCACACACCTTATATCGCCAAGCGCACCTTATGCGGAATTTACAGCGTCAGAACTGGACTTGACTCACAAACCCCTCACTGTACAAATGAGAACACCGAATGCACAGAAAGAAGTGACCGAGCAGCAGCGAGCCTGACTAAGTCTCGTGCTCTCTGCCCAAACGAGGCTCCCTCCTTCCATCCGACAAAATGAAGCCAATTCCTCTTACGGTTTTAGGTCCTCTCCTGCGCAACTCTGCCGAGGCACCTTTCCTCGGTCGTCTGTTTCACTGTTATTTGGAAACTACAATCAGCCGCCAAAATCCGAACCAGTTAGGCTCCCGACGCTCCCAGAGCTCCAGATCACCGGAAGCCCTGTGATAAGGTCTTGAAACCCGCCAGTTTCCGGAACCTTGTTGGTTATCTTTGGCTGCAAGGCGGCGGAACCGTTTAGCGAGCGCCCGGGTGCCTTCGTCACTTCCGTCCTCGAGGGAATGCTGGGAGGTCGGAGGCCCGGAGAGGTGGGAACCCTGGGGCAGTGGCTGTCCGGAGTCTAGGCGACGGGGCGAGACGGGGCCGGTAGGTGGCAGGAGGGGGCCGAACCGGAGCCAGCGAGAGCGCCTGGCCCGGAGGCCCCCATCCTGGCGTACCCGTCCCGGTTCAGGAGGAGGAGGATGATCTCCAGATACACTCGGAAGGCCGTGCCACAGAGCTTGGAGCTGTGAGTGCGCTGCTCAGCCTGCCAGCCCCAGCACGGGCCGCAGGAGGCTGAGGCGGGCCGCGGGCGCCCTGGGACCCTCCTGGAGCGGCGCGCTTCGCTCCTTTCCTTTCCCTGGGCTGGAGAAAGAAAATATTCATTGGAATTCTCTCCCTCCAGCCCGGGCGAACACTGCCCCCTGTCCCTCCATTTCCAGTTGAGGGCGTGTCACCCTTACTATATAGTACCGAGGCTTGGCCTCATCTTGGGTTGTACTAACTGAATTTAGGGACTGGGTCTTCTAAGGCATTTGTAGTGCCCGCAGTGCTTCAGGCCCCACTGTCGATGGTCATCAACAACTGGAAAAGTTACTAATAGCTGAGAGGTACAATACAGTTGAATACATCTAGTGCCAGACACCGTGCAAAACTTTTTTGCATTCTTTAGCTCATTTAATCCTGTCCGCAAGGAAAGCAGATCGAGAATGTAATTTGCATATTCAACAGATAATGACCCCAGATCTTAAAAGATTGTAGCATGCAGCTGGGCGTGGTGGTACCTGCCTGTAATCCCAGCTATTGGGGAGGCTGAGGCGGGAGGATCACAAATTCGAGCCCAGCTTGGACAACTCAACGAATTGTCGAGACTCTGTCTCAAAAAAAAGAGAGAGAGGGGCTGGAGATGTTGATCAGGGTGAAAGCCTTGGACTCATTCCTCAGTACCGAGAAGAAAAAAAAAGATTGTAATTTGTCAATGGTCACACGGCTAGGAGGGAGTGGAGCTGAGAGGTACAAATTTAATGTCAGTCTAATTCTTTGGCCTTAGTCAAAACCATTACACTACCTCCCCACCTCTGCAGTTAAGCATCAGAACATATAAATATCAGTTTTGCTTCTGCCCCTGTAGAAAACAAGTATTTCTTGTTTAAAGACTCATCTTTTACCCTTTGTAAAGTTTGTAGTTTAGCAAGTACTATAGTGATAATTTTACATTTACTTATGTTTTACACTTTCAAAAGGACTTTCACTTTTTGATCGTTGTAAGAACTCCGTAAGATAGGTGTAATTATCTTTAGTTTTTCAGAAGATGAAATTATATTAGAAAGGTTACACATTTTAAGTTTATATAAAAAGATTATGTAGCCATTAGAGTCAGAATTTGAGCATGGGCTTTAAAATAAAATTCTATTTTTCCCCTTCATTGAGCTATGTAATTTAAGTAGCCATTCACTTTTTTTTTTCTTTTTCTGGTACTAGGAATCGAACTCTTCTGCTTTTGAGGCAGGTAGCGGAACCACTGAGCTAAATCCTGACCCCTCCCATTCACTTACTAATTAATTAACTATACATGGTAATAGCAAGCATATTTTAAGTCACCTTGGTTTCTGGCTGGATTCTTTACTAATCATGTAACTTTTAAGCCAATTACCAAATCTCTTTGCCTTCATTTTTGTAACATAAGACTAAGACCCTCTTACCTAAAAGCATATCTAACATGATGGCATAGGCCTTGACACCTAGTAAGTTCTTAGTAAGTGATAATTTCCTTGTCTCTTTCCACTTTTACTTGGTACAACAGACACAAAGAAAATAAATCTAAAATCTCCTTGCCTTCCAAAAGCTTTTTTTCTGTTAAGGAATAGGATATCTCCCCAGGAGTAATTCAGACAAGAAGCTCTTTAGGAACGTGGATGAGGAAACTCATTTCTCAATCAACATGCTTAGTTTGTAATCTGCTTTTATAATTAATAAAAATAATTATATTCCAGCCATACTGAGAGGGTTTCTTGTTTTGTTTTGTTTTGTTTTGTTTTTTGAGACAGGGTCTCACTTTGTAGTTCAGGCTGTCCCTGAACTCACTGTGTAGCCCAGGCTAGCCTCAAACTCATGGCGATCCTCCTGCCTCTGCCTCCTGAGTACTGAGATTATAGGCATGCACCACCACACCCAGCTCATACTGAGAGTTTTTAAAAATCTTCTATGAAAGAATGTTAACAGTCACATATTAGGCAGAACTATTGACCCAGTGTAGTTATACTACTTGTTCTCAGTTGTTGATTTGACATTTCCTAAAGATAATTCTCCCAAAAGATGATTCTCTAGCTGGAATCATTCATGATAAAGTGAATAATGAAGATAATGAAAATAAAATGCATATAAATGACAAAGGAATTTTTACTTTAAATGTTACAATTACTTTGAAGCAGTAAGTAATTTTCTTCCTATCGATTGCAGTTATAGGTGGTGAAAAGAGTTTGAAACAAGTGATTTTCAACACATACTTTAACATTTTTAAATGAAAAATTTCAAACATAAATATATAGAGAATAATATAACGAATCACCCATCGTCCCACATTCAAGTTATCAAAGTTTTAATATATTTGCTTCATTTATCTTCTTTATCTCTTTTTTAGTTTGTCTTGGACATAAGGAAAGCAAAACCATATACAGTATCATTTCATCCATATTTGTGTGTGTGTGTGTGTGTCAGTATGTATCTCTAAAAATTATGGACATTTTGTTATGTAATCACAATGCTATTATCAAATTTAATCGGCCGGAATTTGGCTCAGTGGCACTGTGCCTGCCTCATAAGCGCAAGGTCCTGAGTTCGATCCCTGGTACAGAAAAAAAAAATTAATAATATGTATTTGTTATCTAATTGTTACTTCGTAAACAGATTTCAATGATAGGCTAAAAAATGTGTAAGTCTCTTTGTTATAACTAGAATCTATATTTCACATCCCTAAAGACAAGCTCATAGTTCTATAGATAAGCACTGATAGGCCTTTGCAAATCCAACCCCGCTCAAGGAAAAATTTACAGTGCAGGCTCCACTGACTGGTCTTTAGCTCTATCTTTTTTCTTTTTTTGTACTGGGGATTGAACTCCTTGCGCTTGCAGGGCAGGTAGCAGAACCACTGAGCTAAATCCCCAGCCTCCCTAGCTCTAACTTTATATACAAAAATAGTACAATTCTCTAAAATCTGAAACTGTTCATTTCCTTTGAGAGGCCCTGGAGCCAAACTACTTGAATTTGAATCCCGACTCCTACTTAGTAATCATAACCATATTACTTGATCCCTCATGCTTCAGTTTCCTTTCCTGTGAAATAAAGGTATTGGAGATTTATATCTTTCCATATTAAAGGCCCTGGGAAAAGCTCTTAGAAGGAAATTTGTGTAGCTTTGTTTATCCTACCATGTCTCCTAAGTTTATTTACACAATTTTGTTGGGAAGGAAAGTCTATGTAGATAAATAGGACTGGAAAATATAATTGACCCCAGTTTATTCTAGTGCACATGATCAAAAAGAAATAAAAATTCCAGAGCAGCAGTGTCCAATATAAATATAAGCCACATGTCATTTTAATGTGGTCCCATCAAAAAAAAATGTTACCTTTTAATTTTCTTAATTTGAAAAACTTAAAGACTTAGAGTTGCTGGGGCCGGGGATTTAGCTCAGTGGTTCTGCCGCCTGCCTTGCAAGTGCAAGGTCCCAAGTTCGATCCCTGGTACCAAAAAAAAAAAAAAAACTCAAGAGTTGCAAAAATATAGAGTCCCATGAACCTTTCCCCAGTTTCCTCCTAATGATAACATTAAGTTAACCTAATTGTAGGTAGTATAATTCCAAAGCAAGGAAATTGACAATAATAGTCTACACTAAAAATAATAATAATAATAATAGTCTACACTAGACTATAGACCTTACTCAATTTTCACTAGTTTTTACATCCACTTCTCATGTGTGTGTGTGTACAAATAATTATATGCAATTTGGTCCCATTTATTTGTATGTAGCTACCACTACAATCAAGATAGACATTTATTTCTTCACCACCAAGGAACTTCCCTGTGTAGCCACTCTATCCACTCTATCCATCTATCATATCCACTCTATCTTACCCTCTGGCAACTACTAAGCTGTTCTCCATCCCTATAGTTTTGCTGTTTGTGAATGTTAAGTAAATGGAATGTTACATATAGTATGTAACCTTTTACAGTTGGCTTTGGATTTTTTCACTTAAGTGTGACCACCTTGAGAGCCATCTAGGTTATTGCATGTATCAATAGTTAATTTTTAAATTGAGTAATATCCTATTACCAGAGTATAATTATTCGCACATTGAGGAAAATTCAAGTTGTTTCCAGTTCTTTTTCAAATATAAGTAAAACTGCTGTGAAAATATGTATACAGTTTTTGGTGTGAACATAAATTTTTATTTTTCTGGATTCACATGCCCAAGAGTGCAACTACTAGGTCTTTTGGTTAAATGCATGTGTTCTGTTTTATAAGAAATTGTCAAACTATTCCAGAGTGGCTATCCTACTTGGCAATCTCACCAACACTTCTTTAGACATCCAAATTACTCTACATTTTCACCTTTATTTAGTATTATCTGTTTTTTGTTTTAGCTCTTCTAATAGGAATGTGGTAATATTTTATTGTATTTTCAATTTTCACTGACATTAATTTTAAGAATATATTTTGTTTAACCCAGTATATATCCTAATATGTAATCAAAATAATCATATTAATGAGATAATTGCACATTCTTCTTGCTGTCCTAAGACTTTGAAACTCAAAGTATTATACACTTAAAACACAGTTCCAGTGAGTCACATTGTAGCTGTTAGTGGCTAGTGGTTACCCCAGTGGACACACACTTCCAGAGAGACTAACATCTAGGTCAAGTTACTGAAAAGTATTTATCTCCTCCTCACAGGAAATATAACTTTACTTTTCACAGGAAAGGAATAACAAAACAGGCTCTTAATCATCATCCTCTTCCAGAGCGACTAGATGAAACTTCCTCTGCCAGTGACAGTCATGAAAAAGACACAAGTTCCCAAAGGTAATAACTCAAAAAGTGTACTTGTTTGCTTATTGTACTTGCTAATGGCAGAGGTTTTGTTTTTTGATATCAAGCCTATGCTGATGAAGCAAAACAAGAATTTTTATCACCTTGGGCAGCTGAGGCAAGAGGACTGCTTGAGCCCAGGAGTTCAAAGCCAACCTGAGCAACATAGTGAGACCTCATGTCAAAAATCAGTCAATCAGGGGGCCAGGGATTTAGCTCAGTGGTTCCGGCACCTGCCTCCTAATTACAAGGTTCTGAGTTCCATCCCTGGTACCAAAAAAAAAAAAAAAAATCAGTCAATCAATAAGTTTTCAGTACCATTCAATTTTCACTCTGAAATAGCTAATAGCAACAACATCATCCTTATTTCCCAA